CACATTATGTTAAGTGATGTAAATCAGTCATAAAAGTATAGTTAGGGTATTGCTGTTGTTGTTAGGTGCCATCAAATCAAATATGGCCCATAGTGACCCTATAAGCAACAGATCTGGACCCTTTCCTATATTATATCATCTTCACACTTCCTCACACACAGAGCCCACTGCATTAGTCATTGTGTTAATTCACCTGGTTTGAGGGTCTTCTCTTTAGCCAATATATGCCTTTCCAAGTACGATGCCCCTTTCCAAGATATAGCATCTCCTAGCAACGTGCCCGAAGTAAGTAAGCTCCAACATCTTCACCTCCAAGAAGCATTCTGGCTGCACTTTATCCAAGATATATTTGTTTGTCTATGAGATATTCACTACACTTCTCCAACACCACTGTTCAAAGGCATCTATTCATCTTGTGTCATCCTTACTCACTGTCCATTTCTCAGATGCTTAGCAAGTGATTGGGAAGCCCATGATCTGAATCAGACACACCTTAATCTTCAAACTGACATCACTGCTCCTCAATAATTTGGAGAGGTCCCTGACTGCAGACTTCCCCAGTGCAATATATCTCCTGATGTCCTGACTGCTAGTACCAAGTGTGCTGATTGTGGATCCAAGCAAGATGAAATTGTTGACAATTCCAATTCTTTCTATGTTGCCTATTGATCCATTGGCAAGAAGTTTTTGGTATTTTGATGTTGAGATATAATCCATATTAGGCTATATTCTTTGCTCTTCTGCAACAAGTGCTTCAAATTTCAGCAAGCAAGGTTGTGTCATCTGCTTAATGTAGGTTATTGATGAGTCTCCCTCCAGTCCTGATGCCATATTCGTCTTCACAGATTGCAGCTTCTCAAATAATCTGTTTAGCATACAGATTGAACAGGTATAGAGGGAGGATACAATTCTGATACATTCTTAATTTTAAATCATTTAGTGTTCTGGATTCCCATTCTTCTTTTTCATCCTCCCACCTCCCTTCCCCATATACCTTCAAATTGGATCTGACTGGCTCAGGAGGAGATAGCTCCTCTTCCAGGAGAGCCTCTGATGGATTCTAACTGGCCACCTTTGGAATTTCAGCATGGCTTCTTGCCAATAGGACACTAAAGCTCCCTTGATTGCCATTCTTCTTACTGTTAGCCATAATTTGTTATGAACCACACAGTCAAATGCCTTTGTATAGTCAATAAAGCATAAGTAGACATTCTTCTGGTATTCTTTACTTTCTGCCAGAATCCATCTGACATTAGTAATTATATCCCTTGATGGTAGTATAAGACCACTAATATAAAAAGCTAAGGAAAAGTTTACACACAGATATAGAATCAATCTTGGAGGAATAACATGAATGAGATGAGGGGGAGAGAGAAGCAAAAATTAATAAAAAGATAACTGGAGTGGAGGGAAATAGTTTGATGACAGATTTTAATTAATGGTACTAACCAATTATAATGTAAAACAAAATTGACTGAAAACAAGTACGATTAAATTTTTACTCAATTTTTTATAAAGGATAAAAACTGTTCTAAATGTAAATTATTAGGTTATATTCTATAGAATTATAATTCTGTAAGGTACTTTATAATATGTTTCTATAAAACTTTCCTTGACTGACTTTTTATCCACTTCTTTTTGCAGAGTGCTCCACCTAAACAGTCTGAAAAATAAGAAAACAATTGTTGTTTGTTGTTGATTGACCGATTCTTGGCAATCATGTGTGTCAAAATGGAATTGTGATAAATAGTTGCTTAAGTGCTGTTCTTTCAGAACCAGATGGCCAAGTTTCTTCCCTGAGGTATCTTGATGGGGACTTGAACCTCCAACCTTTTGGTTACCAAGTGCATTAACTATTCATATAAACTAGTGACTACCATTCTTTAAACTAGAGGTTCTCAAATGTACTCAAGCACCAAAATGATTAGTCATTGTTTGCATGACAACAGTCCAGAATAAGAGGTGCATAGTAAAGTGGACTGGGATAGGAGGGAAGGAAGAAATTGTGCAACAATGAATGAATTTTTTAAGAGAAAAGTGAACTGGGGTGGGTGTGGGTAGGGAGGAAAATGTGCAATAATGAATGAATAGAAATCCAAGTTTTCTGTAAATTTTCATTAAAATCACAATAAAAATTGTATATATTTAAAAAAAAAAACAACCCAACGTAGAATGTTTGTCAAACAGCCTGCTGGAATATATCAACAAAGTTCCTGATTGGTTAAGTCTGTGTTTTTGAAGAAGAGGAAGAAAAGGCCAAAATGGATGGATGTTAGAAAAGACTCCACCAGCAACAATAGCAAAGTTCAAAAGGGCAGCAAACAACCAATACTGGTGAGGTAGTGAAGAGATTAGAACTCTTATTCACTGCTGGTAAGAATGTAAAACAGTTAAAGCCTCTATCGAAGGTGGTCTGGGGCTTTTTCGATAAAGTTGAAAACAGAAATACCATTTGACTCAGTTATTCCACTACTGGGAACATACCCTAAAGAAACCAGAGCCATGACCCAAACAGATGTATGCACACTCATGTTAACTGCTGTGTTATTAACAAGAACAAAGAGATGAAAGCAACTCAAGTGCCCAACAACAAGTGAATGGTAGAAAAACTATGGTATATCCACACAATGGAGTATTGCACAGCATTTGAAAACACTGAACTCATAAAACATTTTTACAGCATAAGGGAAACTGGAGGACATTAAGTTGAGTGAAATATATCAGTCACGAAACGACAAATACTGCATAATACTGCTATTAGGACAGATGAGGGTTGCAGAGAGAATGAAGAAAAGAGTGGATAGATTATGAACACTGCAATAGAACTAATAAGGGGAAGAACTGTCTGAAAGGAATGTATGATTAGACATTTCATATATGACAGCAAGCTGGAATAAAGGGTGCATTGCAGAGTGGGTTGGGGGAGGGGTAAGAAAATGTGCTACAATGGATTAAAAAAAAGAAGAGACTCTGAAAACTACACTCAAGCATCAAGAAGCCAAAACAAAGAGAAGAAATTCTGAAATAAAAGAAATTAGCAGTAGATTTCAAAGGGTGGTTCAAAAAGACAAAGCAAAGTGATACAATAGAAAGTTGGAGAATAAAAAGGGAAGAACTTGCTCAGCATTTCAGAAGTAGAAAGAAGTGAAAAAGCAAATCAAGCCTCAAGTCAGTGAGAGCAGTACAAGGTGAAACTCAGAAGGAACTCTGGTGGTGTAGTCTGCTGATCCAAAGGTCATGTGTCTCTGCTGCTTTGATTCCACTAGTAGTTTGGCAAGAGAAAGATGGGCACTATCACCCCTGTGATTTACAGACTTAGGAACCCAATGGAGGGTCTGCTATGAGCCATTTTCAGCTCACCAGCAATGAGGGAGACTGAGGTAACTCAGATATCAGGTAGTGGTTAACTGCTTTTCCTAAGACCACACTTTAACATCCTTTACTTCCCAGAGGTACGGCTTTGAAAATACTATTACATCTTTCTGGAATGCCTTCTTGGTAGTTTTTACTCAAATCATGTAAAAACCCACTGTAGGTGAGTGGAAGCCCAAGTCTTCTCCCTCCTCACCTGTTCTCAGGTTATCTCAACCTTGGAAGCAGAGTGGCAACCACTTCCTAAACAACAGCCTCTGGAAACGCTATGAACTTTGAGAAATGACAGTAGTTATAGGAAGGCTTCAGGTCTTTTGTTCATAGAGTCGCTATGAGTCGACTAGACAGCAATCAGCAACAACATGCACAAGGATAAGAAGGGAGCTCTGGTGGCTCAATGGTAAGAAGCCACCGAAAGGCACCAGTTTGAATCCACGAGCAGCTTCTTAGGAGAAAGATGGACAGTCTCCTCCCTGTGATTTACTGCCTCAGAAAACCCACTGGAGGGTCAGCTATGGGTCAGCTTCAACTCAACTGTGCATAACAACATTCGCAAGGCTGGGTCTATTGAAGGGCCATCAAGCGCAGTAAGGAACGAGAAGGGTAGAGCACCAGGCTCTGATGGTGCCGCATACTCAAAAGCAGTTTTTCTCATTTGCTTCCACCCCAATTGCAGGCAGTGAAGAGCACAAACCCCTGACCAACTCTCTCCCTCTAGAGCTCATCTCTGCCGTAGTCCTCCTCTCCTCTCTCCACATCGGGGGCTCCATTTTCTGTTGTGCTGGGGTATCTCCCCAGAGAACAGCCAAATCTAAGACTCAGACTTTGAATTTAGCAAAACCTAGGTTTGGGCCCAAATCCTTAGCTCATAATATAGTATCACTGCTATCCTTCTAAAAGCAGGCACTTCCAGTTTCCCCCATATAGTCAAGTGCCAGCTACCTTTTTTCATACCCATGTTTATGAAGAAACCATATTTTCTACCTTGCTCTTTTTTCACTTATCTACTCCATTCTAAATTGTATGCAAAAAGTAAACATGAAATTGATTGAAACATCTTTACAGGTCAGACTGTGCATATAGTAGGTTGTTGTTGTTTACCATCAAGCTGGAACCAACCCATAGCCGACCCTTCAACAGGTTTTCAGAGACAGCTGGTGGCCTTGAACCACGTGCCTTTGAGATTGCAGCACAGCTTCTTGCCAGTAGGCCACCAGAGCTCACATAATAGAAGTCAAGTAAATTCTAGATCAACTGTATTTCATATTCAGAATAGATCTTTTCAGTAACGTAGGCCCCTAAGGAGTCAATGAGAGCATTGTCCTAAACATGTCATTTAGTTACAGATCCCAAGAGCTCGCAAAATGCTCTGGGAAATTCCCATTCTATCTAATGTTTTTAGTATCCTTCCTATAAAATAATTCATATGGCTTCCTAAAACTTGTACTAGTGAAACTAAAATCAACCTTGAGAAACAAAGCAGAAATTAAATTCAAGTTCATAAAGATTTCTTTCTTAGCAGTATTTTATTATTTTAACACATATTGCCAATATAAAATAAAATAGTAATATATACAAGGGTTTGGGGTTTTTTTTTTAGGAAAATAGCAACAAAAATGCCAACTCACCTTAGAATGAGCTGTAACATCACATCTTCACAATGTAAACCGATGAGAGTTCTGAACAATGCCAGGGACACCACGCAAAGCTGGGAAGCATTGAACACATTATACTTCAAATACTAGAATGGTATCTACTTCCCACAGACAATAAGCATAAATCAAAACTACAACATATGCACTCTTTAAAAAACATTTTTTTAAATAAAAAAGCATAATGCCATCAGAAAGCATGTGTGTTCAGGGTATCATTTCTCTTACAAGATCTGATCAGAGAGTCTACAGGTGGAACTGTGCTCCTATGCACCTAAACACTTATAAAAATACACATGGTCCAGTTTTAAAAGATCCAGATATCTGCAACTACAATCCCAGAGGCTCACGGTTTGAATCCACCAGATGCTCTGCTGGGAAAGGTGGGACAATCTCCTCCTGTACCAGTCAGATCTGATTTGACGGTACACTCACACAAAAATATAAAAAAAAAAAGATCCAGATATATATTTCCTCCAAATAAAAGGGGGCTAAAAGAGGGGAAAGGAGAAAGAGTTGGAAAGAAAGAGGACAAAGGGGGAAGAGAAGAAGGAAGGAAGGAAGGAAGGAAGGAGCCATTTGCTTCTATCATGGATTTCCTAAGCTATTTTCATGTGTTACTGACTATTGATAAGACAGATCTAATAGAAACTATATATACACTGGCCAAATGTTTCTTTCTTGTTCTCTGATCAAGTCTCTCCTGTCTTGGCTTTGGAGCAAATAGTTTGTTGTTCTTTTTCCACAGGCTGTGGGTACATTAATTTCCTTTTTGGTAAGTTCATTAAAAACATGAGTCCTTTCCATCTCTGATCTCCTAAAAAAAAAAAAAAAAGATAAAACAGCCAAACAGGGCAGATGCTTTAAAAGCATGTTACAGAATCGCTGTATCCTTTTAGAAGTAGCTTCTTATCAATCTGACATGTCATGTTATGGGAGTAAATTAGACTCTTATCTTTCTATACAAGAGTATAAGTGCCAGTCTGTCTCACAGGCAGAACGGGTCAAAGACATCAGTGATGGTATCAGGAAGGAATAGCTGTACTTGGTCTGCCCTAAAACACCTCAGGGCTCAAGCCAGGCCATATGCTTGTGGTTAGCCAGAACCTTCAAATCCTGTTCCATTTCTGTCATAACATGTGTGACTCCTTTGCTTCTTGTTGTTGTTAAGTGCTGTTGAATCAAGAATTAATCACAGCACCTTATGAACAAGCAATATGAACACTGTCCTGTCCCATCCCATCCCCACAGTCTCTGACACACTCAAGCCCTTTGCCACTATCACTGTCAACCCATCTGGTTGAAGGTCGTCCTCTCTTTCACTGCCCCTCCACTTTTCCAAGCATGATGTCCCTTTCCAAGAAATAATCTCTCTCAGCAACATGCCAAAATTATGTCAGATGAAGCTTCATCATATTTGTATGGAATGTGTTTTTTTGCCTCCTCTTCAGGCTCACTATGTACTATTCTAGCCATTTTTAAATGATCTTCAGCAGTATTTTGCTTGCATATACTAACAATATTGTTTGATAATTTCCACATTTAGCTGCATGTGACATTAATGATATTGTTCAATATTTTCCACCTTCAGTTTTACTTTGCTTGCTGAAGTGAGGAGGATGACTTGAAGCACTTGTTGCAGAAATCAGTGAATGCAGCCTTTGCATCTCAATATCAAGAAAAAAGATTCTTACCACTGGACAAATAGACAACATCACGGTAGATGAAGAGGAGACTGAAACTGTCAACAACTTCATCTTGCTTGGATCCACAATTTACACCCTTGGTACCAGCAGTCAAGAAATAAGGAGACACACTGCACTGGCAAAATTTGCAGTTAGGGACCTTTGCAAATTATTGAGGAGTAATGATGTTAGTTTGAGGACTAAGGTGCATCTGATTCAGGCTATGATCTTTCTGATCACTTGCTATGCATCTGAGAGCTGGAGAGTAAGAAGAAGAAATGATGCCTTGAGCTGTGGCGTTAGAGAAGAGCACTCAACATCTCATGGATGGCCAAGAGAACAAACAGGTATGTCTTAGAGAGGGTGCAGCCAGATGCTTTTCAGAGGCAAGAATGATGAGGTTTTGCCTCACATACTTTGGGAATGTTGGTAGGAGGGGCTGCTCCTTGGAGAAGGACGTGATGCTGGGAAGGGTGGAGGGTCAGCAAAGGAGAGGAAGACAAGGTGACTGCTGCAATGGGCTTTAGTGTGTGAGGAACGTGAGGATGGCAAAAGATAGGGTTCAGATCTTTTGTTCATAGGTTGCTTATGAGTTGTATTTGACTCAACAGCACCTAACAACAACAACAACACAAGCTAAGTACTATATATTCTCAAATAATTAGTATAAGCCTCATTCATGGTATAAAACTTTCTGCTTTTCGTCTGAGATATATTAATACAGTGATTTTAACAATGGACTTAAGCATAGCAGCAGAGCAGCTACTCTTCCTACATATTGCCACAGTGAGCTTTGCAAATTACTGTTAAGAATTTTTAGGCTAATGTATTTATTTTTATTTTTGAGTGTAGTTCTTTATTGGAGGGGAAAAGATGGATTATCTACTACTCTTCTTAATTTGAGAGAGAAATAAAACTTAAGTTAACAGGTAAATGCTTTTATATACTGTTGCAGTGTGCCACGTCAAGTCAAGAATCCACCCATAGCTGACGAGCCAGAGGGTTTTCAAAGGCAGTAAATCACACGGGCGGAGACTGCCCATCTTTCTCCTGCAGAGCAGCTGGTAAATTCAAACCATATGCCTTTGGTTATTCGAGGTCTCTTACACTGACATATAAACTTGACAATTTCCTTTTTGATCTCCTTGAAAAATGCATTTGGTATGTGTATCGTGATTGCACTGAATATGTAGATTGCTTTTGGTAGGATTATCATTTTCACAATATTGAGTCTTCTTATCCATGAACAGGGCATATTTTTCCATTTTCTAATGTCTTTTGCAATCACTTGTTATGCATCAGAGAGTTGGACAATGACTAGGGAGGATAGAAGGAGAATTGATGCCTTTGAGCTGTGGTGCGGGAGAATAGTATTGAATGTACCCTGGACTGCCAAGAAAACAAACAGATTCATCCTAGAGAGGGTTAAACCAGGCTGCTCCTTGGAGGCAAGGATTCTGGGGCTTCGTCTGACATACTTTGGACATGTTGTAAGGAGAGACAGGTCTTTAGAGAGGGACATCATGCTGGGTAGAGTAGAGAGACAGCGCAGGAGGGGAAGACCCTCTATGAGGTGGATTGATTCAGTGACTGGGGTAATCGGGATGGGTGTGTCAGAGGCAATGAGATTGGCACAGGATAGAGCAGGGTTTAGGGCTGTTATGCATAGGGTCGCTATGAGTCGCAAATGACTCGATGGCACATAACAACAACAGCAACAAGAACTTTTATTGTGTCTTGAAGAAATGCTCTGCAGTTTTCTTTGTATAGGTCTTTTAAAACATATGCCTTTGGGACTGAAGCAGCTTAGCTTCTTATACTAGGCCACTAGAGCTCCCTAATCACGTATATAATTTGCAAATATTTTCTCTCCCCATTTAATGAGTGTCTTCTCAAATTCTTGATTAAATAATTTCATTTCAACTCTGTCAAATTTATCTCCTATTAATCTTTTGCTTATCTTTTTGAGCTCACATCTCAGAAACTGCTACTTAACTAAGACAACAAAAAATTGCCACCATGTTTTCTTTAATTTCTAGCTCAATCTTTTTTACTTAGAGATAAATTTGTGTTTTAAATTATTTTTTGTACACAGCAGTATGAGATAGAGATCTAACTTCCTTCTTTTCCCTATGGTTATCTAGATATCCAAGTACTATTTGTTGTAAAATCTATTTTGCCTCTGTTGAGTGATCCCTAGCCCTTAAGTGGAAAATCCAGTGACCACAGATAGAAGGCTTTATTGCTAGACTCTCAACTTTATTCCATTGATCTATATGTCCATCCGTATGCTAGGACCACAGTGTCTTGATTAGTACAGCTTTGTAGTAACTTTTAAAACCAGAAATCTAAGTCTTTAACTTTGTGGGATGTTGGTTTTATTTTTTTTTAAGATTGTTTTGCTAATATAGGTTCTTTAGTTTCCTCAAGAATTTTCAAATTAGTTTGCCATTTAAAAAACAAATTAAGCGAGCAGGGATTCTGACAGGGAAGGCATTGAATCTGTAGCTTAATTTGGAGAGTATTAACACCTTAATAATATTACATCTTCTGACCCACCACATGTCTTTCCATATATTTGATAATGTTGTCAGGTGCCATAGAGTGGACTACAACTCATGGGGCCCCTTCTCTAAACGACAGCTCGAAATCTTGTTCTGTCCCGCACTGTCCTCACAATCTCCCCCTTCAAGCTCTTCAAGCTCACTGTGCAGTCCCTGTATCAATTCTTCCTGTCACAGGTCCTCTTCTCTTTCACTGACCCTCTATTTTTCCAAAAAACCATTTACCTGGATCATCTTGAATTGATTTTAACAATGTTGTTCATTTTTTCAGAATATAAATTTTGCAGGATTTTTTGGTTAAGGAGCCCTGGCTGCACAATGTTTAGGCACTCAGCTCTCAACTAAAAGATGGTCTGAACCCACCAACCTCTCCAGGAGAGAGAGAATGATGAGGCAAGTCTGCTTCTGTAAAGACAGCTGCTTTCAGCACCCTGCCCTATATCACTGCTATGAATCAAAAGTCACCCAACAGCAGAGGACTTTTCTATGCTGTTGCTAGAGTTAAATTTATTCCCAAGTATTTTGCTATCTTTGATGCCACTGCAAAGGGAATTTAATTTCATTTTCAGAATGTTCACTGCACTTACATAGAAACACAACTGATCTTTTAGAGAAATCTGCTATCATTCCACCTTGCCTAACTCATTTATTGGTTTACTTGTTTAGTAGATTCCCTAGGATTTTCTATATATGATTTTATCATGTTTTTTATAAGTACATGATAAAATAAGACTCAGTTTTATAAATATACTAATAATAAAAGCCAATAATAATTAAAACAGTTTAAAAGGTGTTCAATTTATGTTAGAAATGACTTATAATACAGTGATCAGAATAGACTCTTATAGTTGTTTGTCTGTATTTTATTCTTGTCTAATCACCCTAGCTAGAACCTTAATGCTTAGTGGAAGTAATTACAGTGAATATTCTTGTCCTGTTTCTAATCTTAAACGGAAACTTTCATGTAATTTATCACTAAATATGAAGTTAGTTGTAAGATTTTCATAGATGCCCTTTAAAATCTCTTCCATTCCTTGGATTCTGAGTTTTTATTATGAAGTCGTGTAATATTTTGGTAAATGTTTTATCTATGTCTTTTGAGATAATCTTATGAGTTTTGTCCTTCATTCTACTGATACGGTGTATTCATTAACTGATTTTCAGAAGTTAAACCAGACAGCTTTTTCTAGAGAGGGTAAAGCCAAGTTGTTCCTTGGAGGCAAGGATTTTAAAGCTCCATCTAATATACTTTGGGCATGTTGCTGGGAAGGACTAGTCCTTGGAGAAGGACATCATGCTTGGAACAGTGGAGGGATGGTACAGGAGAGGAAGACCCTGGAGGAGACAGATTGACACAATAATTGAGGTAATGGGAGTAGGTGTGTCAGAGACAGTGAAACAGGCTAAGGATAGGGCAGGGTTCAGAGCTGTTGGCAAACAACAATAACAACAAGAACATGATGTGCTAAATTATCTAACTGTCAGAGGTTAAACCAGTGTAAACTGTTAACTTTTAAGCTAGCAGTAGAGTGAAAACCATCACAATTGCCCATTTAATTCCATATAATTGATGTAAGAGAAAGTACAGCTATAAGATACTTGATTAGAAAAAAGTTATTATAGATATATTTAAAACAATAACAAAAAAGCAGTTATTATCAAGGCAGCTTATGTATAATGAACATCTCATGGGATCTGGATCCTAGATTTGAAGGATGAGGATCATGGTTTCATGGAACATCTCAGGTTACTAATTAGCCTAATTCCACGTTTATGCTTTTGTTCTCTCAGATCATTGTTGGGTGCATAGCATCTTAAAAGACTGCAAGCTGCCATCGAATTGAGCTCTACTTTCCTGGAGGAACAGAGGAAGAAAGTGAATCAGGAACTGAAGGAAATAGAGCATGTATTTCATTGTCTCTGTAAACAATTGTCTCCCCTGCCATTGTTTCCTGAGACAAATTATTGGATGGTGTCTGGATATCATTACTGAACATCATGACCCATGATTCTATAGAAGAATCCTAATCAAAAGGGGGAGATACAGAAAATAATTTAAAATTCTCATAAATTTCAGACTTTCTGGAGCCAAGAAGGTTACGTAAACCTTTGAAACTATTACTCCAAGATAATTTTAAACCTTAAACCAAAACTATTTTCTAAATTCTTCTTAAAACCAAACAACTCTTTAGTTTAACTAGTTAAGAATGAGATCAAATTTGTAACATAGAAAATTAGAGAGCAGTGAATTGAGGAAGAGAAACCACAATTCAGAAAGGGGATGTGAGAAGGACTGTGAAACTCAAAGAAAACAACCACATGTGAAAACTGTAGAACTGGTGTATGTTGTGCTGTGTATGTTCTCAACAATGCTCTGTTACAGTAACAACACTTGTGGATAGAAATACAGTATCTAATGCTCATACTTGCTATATTCTGGTTCCTTGGATTTATTTGGCACTTAAACTTGCGTACTTCTCTGCATCTTCCCTCCTCAGAAGGGTAATCTGCTAGCTTTACAGAGGCAAATGCCAATCTAGACTGAGAAGAGTGTCCCATGAAGGGAGTAAGTGCCACTTTCCTGCCAAAAGACTCCTGATAACAAATTGCATTTCTCAGTTTATCTTTTCTAAAACAGAACAAATGTAACAACGGCAAGAAATAAACAAGAAAAAGAGAGGAGATTCATCATTTCATTCCAATAAGAAACTCCTGTAGTCGGTTCTTAGGAGTTCTATTCCGTTTTACCCGAAATGGCGTGTTGATTCGGCTTGTAAGTGTGTCCAATATGTGGACATTCTCATGCTGGTGCAATAAAATAAAACGGAGGAAGATCTCAAGCAGTGCTGGCTCGGAGACACTGCGTAGGAAAAGGTCCAGGTATGCAGTCGTGGTCATGACCTCCTCCACAGTCACCTGTGATCAAAGACAAAACGGGCACAGGTGAGCATCCCCATGTTGCTGCGAAGCACGTGCCCCAAGTCCCCTAGACTCATTGCATGACTCCAAGGGAAAAATACACTTCAGAGCTCCATCCAAAGCCCCACTGCCTGTCCACAGTCCACAATACTTCAAATGACTTCATTGCTCTAATTCAGTAAGGAAAAAGCAAAAGCATAAAGAAGAAATTCAAGTGTTTCAATAACTCTAATCATTAAGTGCTGCTCAAACGCCATAAAGATTTTAGTGTGTAATCAAAAAGAGGGGAAGATAATGCAAAGTATTTACATGGTCAGTAAAGGACTAATTGGAAAGCTCAATAAAACATATTCATTATTAGTCATTCAATAAATGTTTACTGGGGCCTGCCATGTATAAGGAGCTAGAAGCATCAGAATACATTTTTTTTCCCATTAGGAAGATGAAATAATATATGATCTAGCAAATAAAATAGCATCATGAATGACAAATGAGAGGTTCAGACAGCAATTGCTGCAGATGTTCAGACATGTTTCTGAAGGGTTTTAAAGTCTAATTTGTGTAACTTTTACTATTCATAGAGTGCTAATTTGCAAGTGTTGTGTAGGAATTCCTGGGTGACACAAATGGCTAAGTGCGTTACTACAAGCCAAAATACTGGCGGTTTAAACCTATCCAGAGGTGCCTGAACAGACAAGGACAGACCCTTGAAAACCTCATGGGGCAGCTCAACTCCGTCACACACGCAGAGACTGTGAGCTAGAACTGACATCACAGTAAATACAAGCGTTTGCTGCTCATAAAGAAACCACGACTTTTCCATAGCACAAGTATCTTCCACCTGGTTTGGTTTTCCAATGTTGTAACATACCACTCTTTCGGGGGCTATCATCTGAAGAGTCACATCGTTAAGCGAACTGAGAATCTATCTCTTTAAGTAACAAAGTTTTTATTTTAAACATTTCAGTTGCCATTGTCTTGAAGGTTAGTATATACTTCTCTAAGACCCCTAAAAATAAAACCTAACATCAGCTGATAATTAGATGACATCACTGGGGTTATCAACTGATTTACTCTTTATAGTAGAGAAACACCCTAACTTAATGTATAAAAAAAATCACCAGAGAAACTGTTTAAAACTGTAGATGTCAACAGCTAATCACATGAATGAGTCTAATGAAACACAAGGCAATACTTTTTGAGTGATTTTCTCTTCTCTTTCTCCTCGTACCATCTTCTTTCTCCTCCCCTTTAAAGGCACTAACGATCACTTCGCTGTCTGCATTCTGAGCTGGGCATGCTGACCTAGTAAGTCTGAATCCATTCTCTACAATCTACAGAAAATTCACACGGCAGTACTTTGAATTGCCTGGGCACAGCATCAGAATATACACACACCCCATCCACAAACGAATATTCAACACATCACTGATGTGAACCCTCAAATATGCAACACATCACTCTCTGTGGACCAACTTTAAAGGGCTCTCCATGGCCCAAATAAAGCAAAGGGAAACAGGTAAGCAACAACTACTTGACAAATAGATTACCTTGAGAAAAGTTCTTCTTGAGGCTGTCTCTGTTTCTGAAATAAACAGCATCCATGCTAATGTTTCTGAGGTTCTTTAGTCCCACATACTCACAGCTCTGTAACACTGTCATGTGTGGTGTATTTTTTTTTCTACCCTAGTGCAGTGAATATGCAGAGTCTGCCACATACTGTCGAATACCATCAGGGTCTGGCACATGCTGTCAAATACCATCAGGGTCTGGTATATGTTGTTGTTATGTGCCATCAAGTTGACTATGACTCACACTGACCCTATGAATAATAGCTCTGAATCCTGCTCCATTCTGGGCCAATCTCAGTTTCTGACACACCTGACCTCATTGCCACAGTCTTTGCATCAATCCGTCCCATCAAGGGTCTTCCTCTCCTGTGCCCACCTTCCACCCATCTAAACATGATGTCCTTCTCTAAGGACGTGTCCCTCCTGGCAACATTCCCAAAGTCTTGGAGATGGAGCTTCACAATCTTTGCATCTAAGAAGCAACCCCCTTTCACCTTTTCCAAGACAGACCTATTTGTTCTCTTCATAGTTCACAATACGTTCAATACTCTTCTCTAGTACCACAACCCAAAAGCATTGCTTCATCTTCTACCAACCTTATTCATTGACCAGCTCACTGATGCACAGCAAGTAATTGCAAAGACCATGGCTTGGATTAGGTGCACCTTAGACTCTAGACTGACATCATTGCTCTTTAGCACTCTTGAAGAAGTCCCTGATAGCATACCTTCCCAAAGCAAATGGTCTTTTGATTTCTTGACTGCTGGTGCCAAGAGCATTGATTTTGGATCTGGGCAAGAGGAAATTGTTAATAACCTCAATCTTTTCTCCATCTATTTTAATACTGGCTATTGGTCTTGTGGTGAAAATCTTTGTTTTCTTGATGTTGAGATGCAATCCATTTTGAAGACTGAAGTCCTTGACCTTCTGCACCAAATAGTTCAAGTCCTCCTCAGTTTCAATGACCAAAGCTGTGTCATCTGCATAATGTAGGTTGTTGATGAGTCTTCCTTCAATCCTTTTGTCACATAATTCTTCATAGAGTCCGGGCTTCCAAATGATCTGCTCTGCATATAGATTGAAAAGATATGGAGATAGGACACATACTTGGCACACTACTTTCTTGATTTTGAACCACACAGCATTTCCTTGATGTTTATACAACTTCTTTCTGGTCCAAGCATAGGTTTCACATGAGCACAATAAGTGCTCTTGAATTTCTATTCTAAATATTTGCCACAATTTGTTGTGATCCACATAGTCAAATACATTTGGATAGTCAATAAAGCACAAATAGGCATTCTTCTGGCACTCTCTGCTTTTAGCTAAGATCCAGCTAACACTGGCAATGATATCCCTAGTACTACGACCTCTTCTAAGCTTAGCTTGTTTTTTGGTGGTTTCTTTTACCCAGCTTGTATTTCTGGCAGTTCTCTGTCAATGTACTTTTCCAGTCATTTTTAAATAATATTCAGCAAGATTTTGCTTGCATGAAATATTAACGATAGTGTTTGATAATTTCCATACTCTGTTGGATTACCCTTTTTAAAAAAATGAGAATAAATATGCTTTTTTCCCAGTCAATTAGTTGGCCAGGTAGTTGTCCTCCAGATTTCTTGGCACAACTTGGTAAGCATATCCAGGGCTGCAACTGTTTGTGGAAATATGTCAATTGGCATGTCATCAATATCTGGGGCCTCATTTTTTGCCAATTCCTTCAGAGTACCTTGAATTTTCTCCTTCATCACCATGGCCACTTGATTGTATGCTATTTCATGAAATTCTGTGTCAGCCAATTCTTTTTGGCACAATGACACTTCCATTTTCTTTTGATGCTTCCTGGATCATAAATATTCTACCTATACCATACTTAAGTATTTCAACTCAAAGCTTGACTTTGTTCTTCAGTTCTTCAGGTTAAAAATGCCAGTCTCATTCCTTTTGGTTTTTTAACTCCAGCTCTTTGCACATTTTGTCATATTATTGGGCTTTGTCTTCCTGAGCTGTCTTTCTTTTTTAAAGTAAACCAGTATAAAAACCAACTATAAGATATCATCTCATCCCAGACAGAACAGCAAAAGAACAGAAGAGCAAGCAACAAATTCTGGCAAGGTTGTGGAGAAACTAGAACCCTTATTCACTGTTGGTGGGAGTGTAAAATGGTACAACCACTGTGGAAGGCAGTATGGCACTTTCTCAAAAAGTTGCAAATAGAGATATCATTTGACCCAGCCAATTCCACTACTGGGAATATACCCCAAAGAGACCATAACTGACATCCAAGCAGATATATGCACACCCATGTTTA